GAGGGAACACCCAACAAAACCAAAAAACCAGCTAGGGTGACAAGTTCCTACTTCAGTGCAACGAAATACGTAAGGCAGTACATAATACATAAGCCTGTTGGATTTTAACTGTTATTTCATAAACATTAGGTTTCTTTTATGGAACTAAAGAGCATCCAGTGATTCATAGTATGCGATTTACTGCAACCATTTTCAGACCACAGGGGAATCCGGTCATTTCGCCTGAAAACTGGTTCGCCCGTAGTAAAAGTCGGTTTCAAACACCAAATATATAAACCTGTTATCGCCCATGACATATATTTTTCGTTCCATACATCCACACATCTATTACTGAGCCAAAGCGGCAGACGAGCCAATACGTACTTCTCGACATTTTTCACATCCACAGTTCCAAGTGAACGGGCTTTCGGGCATACTTTGAAATGGTTCTTGAGGAAATTTGTAAAGCCTAAGACGAAGGAAGAGCTAATTGCGGGAATTAAGGCCTTTTTGTCCGCAGTAACCCCTACGATGTGCACCAGATACGTCAGACATATTGACAAAGTTGTTCCAGTTGTAATTGCAAGGAGGGGAACTGCATCTGGATACTAGCAACTGGTCAGGAAAGATACAGCTGCAATCATGGACAAAAGTGTTGACACATTTCAGCAAAACAAACGCTTTCTATCGGCCTCCTTCTGTAATTTCAAAAAACATCTTTTTTGCCGAAAGAAAAACCCCCCTCTCCCCCTTTTCAATGCTGAAATAGGCTCTGTGGACACCGTCACGTGGTTACAACATTGAAAAGGGGAGATAGGGTCGGAATGTGTAAATTGGAGATTGAAAAACTCACACGTTCAACAAAACAGGTCTCTTTCGGGGAGTGTTGCAACTGTTTTTGTCCATGATTGTTGATACACAGTGTAGATCCTAAATGACATGCTAGTAGTGTGTGGTTGCTGTAAGGTACCATTTGCAGAGTTAACTAGACAGAAAAACATATCGAACATTTTTCAGGGGATCATACTTGGGGTTGAAAATACCCACGCAAAGTTTAAACTATTTTGAGTTCAAGCATTGTTGTTGAAGTGGACAAACTACGGAAAAACCATGTCAAAACAGTGTGAATTGAGAGAACTTGGCGACTAAATTGTTAGCAACTGATGTAATCTTGTGTAAGAGGTACATTTACTTACTCTTAACTTTCCTGTTGTCATGGTTATCATATTTTCCAAAGAGTTAAGTCAAACAGGATGTTGAGGTTTCTGCTTTGGCCAAAAATAAATACAATCAATTAACCAAGTGTGTGTCTTTTTAAGGTAATTCCCCAGAAAAAAAGACTGTTAATAGATTTTTGTTCAAACTTTGTCTGCTGAATATTTATCATATGAGAACTTTAATTACAAAATAAAAAGGGGGGTGCCCATGCTCGTTAAGGAGCAGTGAGACATTGAAAATGTCCCATTTTGGCATTACTTAATGCTTATTACAAGAGCTCATTCCAAGTTATTGTAAAATCTTTGTGAGCCCAGACTCATGAAAACATGCCTCAAACTGCAGTCAATACTTGTTTCTGATGTAACTAAACTTTTTAAGTTTGACTTTGACAGACAGCTGAATCCTTGTTAAAATATTGGAACCAAATTGCTTGCCACAGCTATCAAACTGCAAAATAGAAACGACTACGGTGCACTGCTATTTTCCTTGTTTCTTCAATTTTCAGCAATAGAAATCAGATCAGTCTTTTCTCACACAAAGCTAGTGATTAGTTGATTAAAACGAATGGAAAAGAAATTGGGGTGCCAAAGCTCGTAAGTGAGCTATAGCCATTTTTCAACTGACAGAACTCAATATCAAGGCAAATCTGCCATGTTTTCAATGTGCACGTGCACGAGTGCGTGCTAGTGACGCTATAAATTATGTGCACTAAGGATGTGCAATGCAAATGCAAGGAATCACCTTAACCCAGAGATTGCAAAAGCAATCCGAGGGTTTATGTTGTGGATATTTTATGTAAGCCAGCAAACGAGTGTGATGTATCCATGAAAAGAGTTCTACAGTCAAACATGTATTAAGCAGACCCCATATAAAGTGAACACCCTCTATTACTTTGACAACAGTGCAAGTCCCATTTTTTTCTTTCCTTACATTCTTAAGCCACTGGTCTTATTCTTTCCTTGTTTAACACTTTTTTTTTGCCAGAAGCCAATGAAGTAACTTGTATAACTAGACTAACCTGTAAGCCACACATCTCTGCAAATGCGGACCTATCTTTTTATGAAAAGAGTAATTCCATTTTATGCAAAGGTTAGCTCATGTCAATCACCATTCATTGGAAATCTACAGGTTTGCTCATAGAGCACTTTAATTTTAACTTTTGTACAATGCATATCAGAAAGGCAATTTCCATGTTCTTTTATTTTTATACCAAAGACATAAGTTTAACTGCCACAACTTAAATAATTAAGTGAACCTAATGAATACTTCAACAATAAAAGCCCACCTTGTGAGCTTGTACATGTATGTAAGTTAAATGTTGCCAAATGACGGTATACTGTTCTTCACTGCTGCACAATAGGACAATATCAGAATGGTTATTTCCATAAATATTCTTACTTTTCATGCCACAGACAAGTTGAGCTGCCATAAATTACATACATTAAATTAATAAATACCTCTACAGTCAATGGATGCCAAAATGCCCACGTTAGGGATTTCAAGTATTTTAAAGTGTTTGTAACTTGAATGATGCTAAAAGACAATTTTGTTTTGAAAAAGGGGGCCATCTCATGGGGAAACCATGGCTACACAACTGATACAAATTTGTAAATTTATGAATGTGCAGCATTCCTAGCCTGACTTTCAGCATCTTCTCTGCTCTGTTGATGGTGATGTTATTGCCTGACAAAGTCAAACAGATAGTGAATTTGATTGAAACAGCTGAAACTGTTGTGTCATTATGAGTGGATCAATATCTTTTCCTTTTGTCGTAGTTTTAGACCTGGGTGAATTTTAAATAGAAAAAGCAATATTTTGCCACGAGATGGTAGTTTGCAGCTATTTGGTGCAGAAGTCTCTCTTGGGAATAAGCTATGAGAGGATAAATCTGAAATTCACGCTATGATATTCTAAAATTTACTCAGCCCCAAATAATTGTTTTGTAAAATTAACATTCTTTTTTTGCTGACACCCATCTTTCTTTTCTTAAAAAGGCGTCAATTGCTTTCACGCACTCCTCTTTCCACACCCTTTCCTGTAACTTTGCTGGGACATCAGGATATTGCTCAAAAATGATTTCTTTAATTGCCCCAAGTTTATCTTGGTCAAGTGGTTGTAGGCTTGACCCACTACTATTAGAG